GAGATTCAAGAGTTACCTCATCTTCTTGTTCATCTTCTTGTTCATCCTCTTTGTCACTATGAGCCATGAAGCAAAAATTTGCAACTTCTTTATCACTTCCACTTGCACTTTCATCACTATCATCCCAAGTAGCCTTCATTGCTTTCTTCTTGGATTTCTTAGATGATTTGAGGAGAGGACAATCCGTTCTTATATGACCCGGCTTTTTACATTCATAACATATTACCTCATCGTTTTTGCTCTTTTCACCTTTTGACTCTTTTTGATTTGTGAAATGTTTTTTTAATTGTTTCTTCCTTTTAATAAAATTTTTATACTTACGTGTGAAGTAGGCGACATCATCTTCATCAAGGACGTCCTCATCTTCAGAGTCAACTTTGATGGATTTTAGGGCTATACTTTTCTTCTTTTTGGATTCTTCTTCCATGTGCCCGTTCATGGTAATCTCATGTGTCATGAGAGAACCAATGAGTTCATCCAAAGGAAGCTTTGTGAGATCCTTTGCTTCTTGAATCGCCGTCACTTTTGCCTCCCAACTTTTAGGCAGAGACCTAAGAATTTTTCTTACATTTTCGGAGGTAGAATATACTTTTCCAAGATTTTTCAAAGCATTTAAAATATTAGTAAATCTAGTAAACATATCACCAATAGGTTCATTTTCCTCCATTTTAAATAGTTCATAATTATGAACTAACATGCTAATTTTTGTTTCTTTAACTTGATTGGTTCCCTCATGAGTTACTTCAAGAGTTTTCCAAATTTCATATGCCGAAGAACACATACATACTCTATTAAATTCATCATTACTTAAGGCACAATACAGACAATTGATAGCACTAGCATTCAAAGAACATTTTTTCATATCATGCTCATCAAATTCATTTTCTAATTTAGGCACCTCAATATTATTAACAATTTTTATTGGAATGTAAGGACCATTACTAACATTTAACCACAATTGATAATCAACGGATTGCAAATAAATTTTCATCCTAGCTTTCCAACATGTATAATTTGTTCCATCAAAATAAGGTGGCCTAGAAGTTGATTGTCCTTCACTAAAACCATTTTTAACACGTAGGTTTGCCATAAGCTCGAACAATAAAGTTTAGATAAAAAATCTATAGGAGCAACCTGCTCTGATACCAATTGTTGGATCGGTATGGCAACCCTAGAGGGGGGGTGAATAGGGTTTTAACGATAAAAGTGTTTAAACTTGATTAATTTTTCTAATGATAAAACTTTTTACAAATAAGTAGAAGATGATAATTACTAAAACAAAATAATTCAAGTCAAAACAATAATCAAGTAGAACATGCAATAAACATAATAATAATCTTGAAATTAAATAGGAAAGAGTTAGAGAAAATGACACCGTAGTTTTATAGTGGTTCGGTCAAACTCGACCTACTCCACTCCCCAAGCGCCTCTTGGGAATTTGAATAAAGAACTTTTCCGACTCTTTCCACGGATCAGAGCCAAACCGGTACACCGCTCTTTTTACGAGTTCAAGAGCAAACTCAATCCTTTCAACGACGCAGGATCAAACCGATACAAGTATTTGAGTTTGATAATAACACACCACAACTCTCTCAAAGAGTAGATTTACAATTTGGGATACTGACAACTATTTCCTCACAATATAATAATAATCCCTCTCAAGAATAAGATGAAAAGAAATAAACTTGTAAGCTTGGAGAGAGCAATAAACAATGGAGACTTTGAACAAATGAGGATTGAAGAATGTATGTAAGTTGTATCTTTTAAAAATGTGGGGAAGATGAGTTTATATAGAGGAGAAAAGTGGCAAAATGTAGGATTGAATATTGACCATTGGATTGTGTTAGGAATAATGGAAGGTGGAGATTAAAAGTAATTAAGTAAGAAAATTTTCTAAATTCATTTATTTCAAAATTTTAATATAATAGTAATATAATATAATAATAATAAAAAGTTATGTGAGTAACGGTAAAATGTAATTCAAAATTTATTATAAATATAATAATATAATAATAATAAAAATGATGTGAGTAACTACCAAAATTTTAAAATATAATAATATAATAATATAATATAGTAATAATAAAATTCGATGTGAGTAACGGTTATATTCAAATTTATATTTGTAAAAATAATTTTATTTAGAAATGTAATAATAAGAAAAACTCCACCATGTGTTACTCTTCCAATATTATAAATGTCATACTTTGATATATTTTGATTTGTTCATCATTTTGATTTTGTTGCCACATCATCACGTCGGGTATGTTGTCTCGACTCTAATTTCTTCGTTTTAGCTCTGATTTGAGTAATTGAAAAGTTGTTGTAATCGTTATTCCCGACCTTATACTGTGGACAGTTCAAAAAACTGAAAATAGTTAATAATTAAAAGTAGGTTTGTTATCATCAAAACATCAATAATTAATTCATTGAAATTAATTAATGTGAGATCAAGGGCCAATAAGCCAACACCCTTCGGGGTTCAACCTCCTCGCTGACACATCTCCCAATGTCTGGTTCTAATACCGTTTGTAAGGATTCAAGTCTACCACTAGCAGATATTGTCATCTTTGAGCTTTCCCTTTCGGGATTTCCCTCAAGGTTTTTAAAACGTTTCTTCTAGGGAGAGGTTTCTACACCCTTATAAAGGGTGCTTCATTCTCCTCCTCAACCGATGTGGGATCTCACAAATCTACCTCTTTTAGGGACCCAGCATCCTTGTTGGCACACCACCTTGTGTTCACCCCCTTTCGGGACTCAACCTCCTCGTTGGCATACTGCCCGGTGTCTGGCTCTGATACTATTTGTAATGATCCAAACCCACCGCTTGGCAAATATTGTTCTCTTTGGATTTTCTCTTTCGGGATTTCCCTCAAGGTTTTTAAAACGCGTATGCTAGGGAGAGGTTTCCACTTCGTTCTTTCTCCCCAACCGATGTGGGATCTCCCAGGAAAGAACGAGAAAACTAATACCATTTTAGAAGATTAACAACTAAATAATTATTTATCAAACGGGTCTTATTAATAAACGATAAAAACCCTATTCTCATAATCTTTTCTTTGATGCAGATGCCATCCCAACAAATCCATGGTCCATTTCAAGAGGAATGTATGAAGATTTGTAGTGAATTAAGTAATGGATTAAGAGAATTAGCAATGGGATTAAGGAAAATGGTTCCACCACTAACAGCCAAAGCCCACATAGAGAAAGCAAAGATTGCAGCTGAGAATCTCAAGTCCCATTTGGAAGAATGGAGATTTGAAGAAATGAATAATAACAAAAATGCTTTGGAGATTGTTCATGTTGCTTCTTTGTCGCCACTTCTACTTGACACCATTTGCTGCATAGTAAAGATTGCGGATTCAGTCCAAAAGTTGGCTTCAATTGCAGGCTTCAAGGCTGTGGAAGTGCCATCTAGTGTAGCACCAGAGCAAGACCAGGGTTCAATGCAGCCATGCCATGGAGCTGTTCTTGTAGCTCATCAAGTCATTATGATCGATAAAGGAGCTCCTTGTTAATGCTTTGGAAACATTCTCAAAGCCATAAGAGGATTTATACATTTTGTTTCCTTAAAGAGAGCATATATATATCTTTGTTTAAAGTGGATGAATTATGTCCAACTTTTTTCGCATCTTAATCGTGATAATATGACATCGATTGATATGAAGCAAGGCATCAGTCATACAAGAGGTTGCAATGTTGCAATTCATGTTACATTGCAGAAGAATCAAACTTCATTTATTTTTGGATTGCTACAAATTTTGAGTGGATGGTAATTTAGAGTTATGGTATTTCTTGAATGTATTTTAAGACTTATTTATAGTGGCTAATTATGGTTATAAAGTATGAAAGCTACAACTCTTGGAATGACTAGCGGAAGTTAAGGGTTTTCATTTTGAGACTATATAAAGACATGTATGTTATTTTTGTAAAATAAACTTGGAAAATGTAGTAAAATGAGCATTTATGCTTTCCTTTAGGTAATGACTAAGTTTCTTTGTAATTTTATGTAGTTTAGATTGCTTGTAGAATCATTCAAGCTTGAGATGATCAATCTTGCTTGTGGAGTGATTCGAATCTTGAACAAGTGTTCTTGTCCTAGGATATTCGTTCAATAAGGTAATCAGACTCTTATTTCCTTTGTAGTGATTTTTTATTATCAGAGTTTTTCCTAGGGTTGATTTCTTATCCTTTGGTATCAAAATTTCCCTTAGGTTGATTTCATATCATTTGGTATAGATAAAAGTCTTATACGTGTCTTTGCCTAGGGTTCATTTGGGAATGATTTACCAAGATCAAAAGCAATTATGCTCGAATTCTAATTGTTTAAACAATTTATTTACGTGTCAAATCACTTACCTACTGTTACCTCGTGCATGCGATGACATGGAGATTCAAATGTCAATGAATTCGTTTTTCTTCCTTTTTTTGTGTTCTGTTATATGTAGAGTGGAGATTCAAACATTTGACTTTCTAGTCGATGATACGTACTTTAGGTCAACAATATGAAAAGTAAGGACGTTTGAACATATAACTTATTAATCAAGGTTATATATACGTATGGATCGTGGACATTTTTAACTCTATCAATTTTCTAAGATTAATCAAATTGGGCAAAGTTTTTCTTCGACGATGGTCATATAAGGATCCGATTATATCCTAAAATCGAAACTTCAATAGTACATGTAATCATGTGAAAGTATGCGTATATATGAGGTCAACAATTATAGGATGAGAGTTTGAACCATCAACTTTTAAAATAAAAACCGATCATAGCAATCTCAAACTAAGCGTTAGATCATCGGTATTACATAAAATAGGTGCCACGTGCCAAGTGAAAACAAGTAGAGAAGTGGATGACAAAGATAGCTTGAGGTCCACGTGGACAGTTGCAGTTGGACTCATAGATGCCAACCAAATCCAAAAACCTAGGACACCTCGAATCTCAACCAGAATTTGGATTCTAAAATCTGTGTCTCATCTCATTCTTTCCCATTTCCATTTTATCATTCCTATTCTTCCTCTCACATCACTCCCCACCAACCCCTTCTCCCCTTCCCTCTCAAACAAAGCCATGGCCACTCGGGCACTTGTTTCATCTTCCTTAACCTCCTCGGGGGGCGCCGCCAGACAAAGATTTGGTGCCAAACCCTGTCTTGGATCCTCCACAAAACAAGCTTCTTTTGTTGTTAGAGCTGAAGCCACTCCTCCCGTTAAGGTTATTCTCGCCCCTTTTTAATCGATGTTCGTAATCGTTTGTTGAACGTTGCTCTAGTTTTCGAGCTCCGAGAGTGTTACAATTATGTGTAAAACCCTAAATTTACTGTAACGACTTAATCTTTTGACTTTAGCTCTCGAATTTGAATGTAGCTCAATTGAGAGACATCTGTGACCTTCTCTCGAGTAAAATAGTATTGACCGTGAGATTTAATATTATGTTATTATGCAGCAAGGAGCCAACCGAGCATTATGGTTTGCTTCAAAACAAAGTCTTTCTTACTTGGATGGAAGGTATATATATATCTTCAATCAAAAAGCCGATGTAAGAAACGAGAATGTTATCAAACAGATCTAAAATAAAGCTTTGATTTGAATGACAGTCTCCCAGGCGATTACGGGTTCGACCCACTAGGGCTATCGGACCCTGAAGGCACGGGAGGGTTCATCGAGCCGAGATGGTTGGCATACGGGGAGGTAATCAACGGGCGGTTCGCAATGTTGGGAGTAGTAGGAGCCATAGCCCCAGAGATATTAGGGTCACTAGGGCTAATCCCACCAGAAACAGCCCTCCCATGGTTCAAAACTGGGGTGATCCCACCAGCAGGGACCTACAACTATTGGGCAGACCCCTACACACTATTTGTACTTGAAATGGCTCTAATGGGGTTCGCTGAACATAGAAGATTTCAAGATTGGGCTAAGCCAGGGTCCATGGGGAAGCAGTACTTCTTGGGTCTAGAGAGGTTCTTGGGTGGGTCAGGGGACCCAGCTTACCCAGGTGGGCCCTTGTTCAACCCTCTAGGGTTTGGTAAAGATGAGAAGTCAATGAACGATTTGAAGCTAAAAGAAGTGAAAAATGGAAGGCTTGCAATGTTGGCCATATTGGGTTTCTTTATTCAAGGACTCGTCACTGGCGTTGGCCCTTACCAAAACCTTTTGGACCATTTGTCTGACCCTCTTAACAATAACCTCTTGACAAGCCTTAAATTTCACTAGATTTGTAATGGGTCTCAAATCGTTACGTTTTTTTCTTGAACAATCACTTATATATTCGTCGATGCTTCTTGTTTTGTTAGTAGATAATGAACTAATCATTGAAAAGTACTTGTACGAATGGAACGATGGGTCTAATTAGAATTTTTTTTTTGGATATATAAGTTAAAAGATGATGGGAATGTTATGAAACGAAGACCGAATCATGTTAGTTTGTATAAGGATGTAATGATATATCATTTTAGACATGGTGAGAAAGAAGACAATTATCTTAAATTGTGTGCCCTAAAAACTAAGGGTGCAAGGTGGTCAAGGTGGGAGGTTAGTGGGACAGAATCAAATGGGGCGTCGTGTGGGTGTGTTTAACAACTTTCATTATCTAGGAATATACAGAGTTTGGTTGAGTTGGAAAAATCTTTTGAACCTTGAATTAGGTTGGTGTGACCGAAGTAACCTGAATAGAGTTGACATCCAAAAACCCAATTTTCTTTTTTTAATTATTTAAAAAAAATTATATTTATCCACCATACATGTTATATTAAGGTCTAAAATCTCATCTAATTCAAATATTAAACATTCACAAGTCACAATGCATTACTATCCGTCGCAAATGTAAAAATTCTTAATCTTCATATAATAATCTTAAAGTAGGGTAAATATAATCGCTCAAGCTCACTACTAACAGATATTGTCCGCTTTTGTTCGTTATATATCATCGTCAGCCTCAGTTTTAAAACGCGTCTATTAAGGAGAGGTTTTCACACCCTTATAAGGATGTTTCATTTCTCACTTCAACCAATGTGAGATCTCACAATAGCTCGAGCTGTTACAGTGAAGCTAAGTTGGGTCGTAACAATATTTTCGAGTTAGTGGAGTGGATCAGGTTGACCCAACTAAAAAATGTCTACACGCAAATCAATCCAAACTTGTTCAGTCTTTAGTCTTCCAAAATTGATCGAGATACTGCTTAATGACTGACTCTCATACTATTTGTAACAATTCAAACTCATTACTAATATAGTTGTCGTCTGGAAATGGAAATGAATTAGTGTAATGAATTATTAAGAAAACGACGAAATTATCACTTATGAACGAATCATTTAAACACTCTTCAACGATCCCATCATCTTCATCACTTCCCACACCTCAAACCCTCCATCATCAATGGCTGAAGCTTCTCAAGAATCCTCTCCCCATTTTCACTATTCCTTCTGATTCTCGCCATTTCCACCCAAACCCATCTCTCCTTTTCATCAATAGACAAACCCCTCAACCCAACAGACATCCACGATCTTCTGCTCCGTTACGGTTTTCCCGCTGGTCTCTTACCCAACAATGTCAAGTCCTACACACTCTCAGACGACGGCGCCTTCGAAATCGAACTCGAAACCGATTGCTATGTGATGCTCAGTGAGCTGGTTTATTACGAAAAGAAAATCACGGGGAAATTGAGCTATGGGTCTGTGGCCGATGTTTCTGGGATTCAAGTTAAGAAGCTGTTCTTGTGTGTCTCTGTTTCTGGGTTCAAGTCTAATCAAGGATCTGGAACCATCGTGTTCTTTGTCGGACCCTTGTCTGAAACTTTTCCGGCAGATATGTTCCGGACGATTCCTGGTTGTAGAAGGAAGGCTTACCTAGGAGGAAGAACAGAAGCCATGTGAGGTAATTTTGATCTGGGTTGGATTGGATTTGATGTTCTTGAGTGATTGATTGCTTGTTGAGTTTGATTTCTGCTTATGAATGTTCTTGTGAATCATGGATCTGGAATTTGTGTTCTGAAATTTGGGTTGTTTGCTGTGATTTTGGATTTTGTTGACTGAGATTCTTGTTCGTATGATCTATCTATGTGGTTAAAATGAAGATGGAAAAGAAAATGTGAAATTATTGGGATGTGACGATGTTGTGTATTGAAAGTTCCATCGGTAGTAGATATTGTCTTTTTTGAGCTTTAAAACTCGTTGAGGTGCACCAGTTGACTAGACATCTAGGGGTAAAGCACTTCAGTGCGGGCTATGAGAGAAGTACCAAATCAAGGCAAACTCTGAATACTAGATATGATCTCAAAATAATAGGGGTCAAGGTCGGTCAGTGAGACGATGGGGGATAAGCTTCATCGTCGAAAGGGAAACAGCCCGGATCACTAGCTAAGACTCCTAAATGACCGCTCAAAGTTTTTAAAATGTGTTTGATAGGGAGAGATTTACACACCCTTATGAATAATGTTTCATTCCCTTCTCCGACTGATGTGGGATCTCACAATCCACCTTCATTTGGAGTCTAGCGTCCTCGTTAGCCGTCATTCTCCTCTCCAATCGATGTGGAACTCCCAAATCCACACCCTTATAAAGAATACTTCGTTCCCCTCTTCAATTGATGTGAAATCCCCCAATTTACCCCTTTCGAGGTCCAATGTCCTCATTGGCACACCATTTGGTGACCATTCTCCTTCGAGATTCAGCCTACTTGTTAGTACATCACTCGATGTCTGGCTGCCTTTAAGCTACAATGATTATTGGAAGTTGTTGGATGATAGCAACATAGCATGAATTTTTTTGTCACTAAATGATTATAATCTTCGATTTCTTCTAGATATTGTTGTGTCTTGTCTGATAATCATGTTTTTTTTTTTTTTTCCAGAGCTGACATTAATCTCTGTCTGTCTCTTGCAGATGGAAATGATAGCTTTCCAAGCATGTTCATCTTTGTTTCCACAATGTTAACAAAATGTTTCTTTCAATAATATTATCCTTCTACTATATCAGATTTCATCAAATGAAAATTTATGTATTTTCTGCTTGGTGTGACAATCTAAATGTCACGATTATGTTTGTTATGACGTGTGTTGCTACGGCTCCATGCATATTAGATGTCAAACCTCTTGCATTGTATCACTTTATTGTCTTCTTTTAACGTTTTTATGATGTATAGTTTTCTTATTGTATTTTTTAGTGTACGACATTTCAACAAAATCATGTCTATACCTCGTAGATCTAAAATGCCTCTGAATGTACTATAGATGTTAGTCATTAGTTCTTCCTACTCGTAGCTATATGTTATCTAAACTGTTGTGTTGTCTTTTTAACTTATACTGTGTAAGCTTACTTTGTTCGTTCCTCTCCATCTTCCTTCCGAAGTGTCTCTAAAATCTCTTCATATCCCTGTTTTCTAAAATCTTCTTCTTAAAACGGGGTTAAAGACTTGTGTATATGTTGTCAGGTCGAAGGCGACACGATTTCGAGTTGATTCACTCACTCAGTTAGTGGTGAGAGTGAGTGCAGCACAATCACTAAAAGCGTTATTCACTTAAAAACGTTATTGTGACACTATGTAGCTCCCAGTTTCTGATCACCGCCCACACTTGGAAGCTCCATCAATGGCTTCCTTCTCGAGAACCCTCGCCCCACCATCACTGTTCCTTCTGATCCTCGCCATTTCCACTCAAACCATCTCTCCTTTCCATCAACAAATTCCAAAATCGGCCACCCTGCCCCCTCAAATCAACAGATATCCACGAACTCTTGCCCCTCTACGGCTTCCCTAACGGTCTCTTACCCAACAACGTCAAGCGAAGATGTTCATGTGGGTCTCTGTTACTGGAATCAAAGCTACTCAGGGCTCTGGAACCATCGATTTTTATGTTGGGTTTTTGTCTGAGACCTTGGCAGCACATCATGCAATAGCTCTCGAACAAAGTACACCATTAAACTTTTCCAGACAACTCCATTGAAGCTCTCGAACAAAATATACTATTCAGACTTTCTTTAAATGATCATAGAGACAACTACTTCTCTCGAGCTTTGAACCATCAAATAAAGTACACTCCGCCTAATACTATCTAGATGACTCCTTTGAAACATGTAGAATTTTAACATGACTACACTTTCGAGACTTCTTTATTCTTAGTACAAGTTAATCAAACCAACCTTCATCCTTAAGTATTCTAATCCAGGAGAAGATGCACAAAATCAAAATGGAGGGCAAGAAAGGGCTTTATTTCCAACCAGATAAAACCCAAATAAGGGACACTAAAGAGCTTTCGATTGATGCAAAAGCATGATGATATATGCATATACTTCCTACATTCTTTACAAGTATTCTTCACCTACATGATATGTTGGTCACTTTCTTTCTTTTTTCTTCTTTTATTTCCTTTTTTCCCCTATTTACAAGCCAATTAGTGTGGTTCGTATTCTATCTTGCTATTCCAAAATCAAGAACATTCATGTTCATTCATTTACCTTACGACCCAGCGCCATTGGCTTCACTGCAGCCAAAACGACAGCAACTTTACACGCAAGAAATCCCAGCATTCCTATCACCACTTCTTTAGGTGACAGCATCATGGTTGAATCCCCCAAGTTGAACTTAACTGTAATAATGGAAAGTCCAACTGCCAGTGCCAAGACTGATAAAGGGCCTATATATCGTCGATCTTCATTCCCCATTCTTTCAGAATTTGAAGTCGGGGCAGGTAACTCGTCCACAGATCTTTGCAAGAGCAACAGATACAAGAAACCAAGAATGCCACCAGCTAAGAATGCAAGACCCGCATTTTCACCAGCTGAGAAGGATGAAATAGATGTGCCAGCAAAAATCAATAAGGCATCATAAGTAAGCAAAGAGAGCTTCAAGTCTGCATATTCTTTCATGCTTTCCTCATTGGAAATACTGTCAATAGTGGCTAAATTTGAAAGGTTGGAGCTTCCATTCAGGAAGAATAAGGGTTCAATTCCACGTACTTCTGATACCAGGCAAGACCTAAGTTCTACCATTGATTTGTCGCTGCCCTCCCCGAGCAATATATCCTCGGCTGAGAATTCATACTTGAAACCCATGTATTGAAGCTCGTGCCCTTCAGATTTCAACTGAGATATGACATACAAGCTTAGACTTCCAAGTCTCCACTGGCCTGGAGAAGATGAGGAAAGAAGAAACGTTCTGTTAAATTTCTTGCCAAAATCATTTTAAGTTCTGCAAAGAGACCCAAAAGTTTTTAAAACGCGTGTCAATGACACAAACTAACCAGAATCAACGCTGAGCCAGACAGATTCTAATCTACCCAATTTAGGTCCCTTGAGGACGAACTCATCCGAAGAACCTCTTTGGAATAAGAGAATTTCA